GAAGTGGGTGTGAGGGGTAGGCTGGGTTGGATAATTTATTATTTCTCCACCTGCTCTGCTTTTCCTTTCCCCCAGACAATTAGAAGAGTCTTTTGTGCTTAATTTACTAATATTAAATATTTAATTAAGACTATTTTGTGACAAGAAGTGGTTTTGTTATCTCAGAGTGATCAGGAAAAAATGAGACTTGTTATAAATTTATTTCTGCTAGAGACAGGAAAAGGAGCATCCCCTAAGTCAGGTGTGGTGGTGCACACTTGTAGTCCTAGCTACTTGGGAGGCTGAGGCAGGATTGCTTGAGCTCATGAGTTTGAGGCTGCAGTAAGCTATGAATGTGCCACTACACTTCAGCATGGATAACAGTGAGACCCTATTTCTAAAAAATAAAAATAAAAATAAAAAGAAGAAGAAGGAATAAGTTCACAAAAGCTTTCTTGAAGAGGTAGTTGTGGAAAACAATACAATTATTTTTCTGATTGCACCCTATGAGTCTCAGTTGTTCAAAATAATAGCGGTTACATTTTCAGAGGCCTCTCTTGGATCCTTTAGGATCTTTACATGACACTGCTGAGTTAACCTAGGTGTGAAACAGTGAGGGTTTCCAAGGACAAAACTTCTGAGAAATAAGTATGGTCTTTGTGATTATTTTAAAAGATAATCAAACTTTTTTTTTTTTTTGGCAATGGTGCAGAAAAGCTACAGTTGGTAGGGGGAATGCTGCTTAACAGGCTAAAATAAGACTGTTCCTTAGTTATGACTGAAGATCTAAGATAATAGATGCCAACTCCTCCTTTATTCTAAGTAAGTGAGATGCCAACCCACTCATGCCAAACATGCAAATTATTTGGGCAGTAACTGAGTTTTGAGCTTCTTGGTGTCTCATTCACCTTGATGATTTAAAAACAAACAAAAAAGGTTGAAATCGAAGAGATCTGGTCAAAAGAATTTAGAAGTTGGAGGAGTTGTCTGGAGAAAGAGTACATGCTGTGAATCCAACCCCTCTAATCTTCTAAGGGGTAGGGGTGGGAAGTGTATCCCCTTAATTTCTACCCTGAGAGTGGGGCCTCAATGATACCACCCATGGAACTTGATGCACTGGGGTCTCACTCATGCTTGACAAAAGGCTACAGACTGGAGGGTTCCAGAAGCAGCCTGTGGCATCAGAGGGAAAAGCTTGGTGTGAGAAGTACCTGAACTTCTCATATGGTTTGGCTCTGTGTCCCCACCCAAATCTCATATTGTAGCTCCTATAATTCCCACGTGTTGTGGGAAGGACCCAGTGGGAGATAATTGAATCATGGTGGCAGGTCTTTCCCATGCTGTTCTCGTGATAGTGCATAAGTCTCATGAGATCTAATGGTTTTAAAAACTGGAGTTCCCCTGCACAAGTGCGCGCGCTCTCTCTCTTTGCCTGCTGCCATCCGTGTAAGATGTGACTTGCTCCTCATTGCCTTCTGCCATGATTATGAGGCCTCCCCAGCCTAGTGGAACTGTAAATCCATTAAATCTCTTTCTTTTGTAAATTGCCCAGTCTTGGGTATGTCTTTATCAGCAGCATGAAAACGGACCAACACAGCTTCCTTCACTGTGGGTCAGAGGAATATACTTTCTGGGTACCTGTAAAGAACCCAGGAAAGAATTGTCAGTTGGGGATTATCTAAAATGAATCTTGCCAGCAGAACAGTCTGGTCAACCTGAAATATACAACCTGAGGAGAAGTCATAAGTGTTCTCCTCATTCCCTGTACCAGTCACCCAGGTTATGTGTCTACTGAATTTTCTTCCCGTAAGTGCAGCACATATGGGAAGAGTTCATTCTAGAAGAATAGAAATTGGGATTTAAAAATAACTCATACTCAGGAAAACAGGGAATATGAATGACATTATGAAATGAGCTTCCTCTATACATTAGATATTTTCTATATTATCATTTGTCTCAAGCTAGATTTTATTATGTAAATTAAATGGAAATTTTAGTGATTATCCTACGAGTTTGTGCTGTGCTAATTTAGCTATCTCACATACCAAATTGCCAATCTCCAGTCTGTGATATACATATATACAAAGCCCAAAAGACTTTTAAACATATGGAAGTGCTTTTATGAAGTACCATCCTTATGTCAGGTTATGAACATTTCTGCACCAAAGTGATTTTTTCACATTGAGATGGTGTAGGATTAGGTTTGCCTACATGCAACAGACACTGAAAATCAACAGAGGCTGTTCATATAGGGTTGTATTATTTCATGTAAAGGGTCTGGAGGATAGCAGGACTGGTATGAAAGTTCTATGTATTGTCAGAGACCAATTCCTTCCAGTTTTCTGCTCTGTCATCCTTGGGTAGGACTCAAGATGGCTGCTGGAAACCAGTCATTGTGTCCGCATTCCAGGCAGCAAGAAGGAAAAGAAAAGAAGGACTTTTCCTGGAAGTTCTTTCTAGGAAACAACTATTTCCACTTATGCTCAATTGTCCAGAACTAGTCACTGATCATATCTAAGAGTAAAATAATCTAAAAAATGTGGTCTGCAACACCAGGCACCCAGCTAAAGTTTGGGGATTCTATTGATGATGAAGAAGGAATGTCTAATATTGGGAGATAACATTTGCCACTGATACAGGAGACAGAAGTTAAGAGTTGTCTTTGGAGTCGGATGGCTTCTCTTTAATTCTTGGTTCTACCACTTACAGGATTGTAACTTAAGTCCAGAGTCTCAAACTTTTCATGTCTTTATTTCCTTATGTGTAAAGTGAGAATTTAGAGTTGTCACAGCATTTAATGTGAAGACATTTAGAATGGTTTCCGGCCATGTGCTGTTATTAGCATTATCCCATGATTTACTATAACCTACTATGCTATAGCTAGTATAGCCTCTGGTGTTTGTTTGCAAATCTAGTCGTAGAACCTAGTATGATGCCTGGCACTTAAGAGATGTGGATAGATGGATGAATGAATGAGGCAGACTGCATGAGTCTTAAATTGTGGAGCTTCTACTTTTTGGCTGATTTGCCTGGGCATTACTTAATCCCTTCCAGCCTTAGTTTTCCCTTTTTTAAAACAGAAATAAATTATACCAACTGTTCTTCATTTGCACCTCCAGATCCACTCTCCACTCTTCTCACCTTGCTTTGTGCCAAGGAGACTGACCTCTGGGGTTGGTTGCAATGAGCTCCTTGCCTTCTGGCTTTTCACTGGGATGGGTCCATGGGAGGCACTGGCAGGTGACCAGAGGTGGGAGGAGAGGGAGCTTGGACACTTATTTCTGTGAAATCCTCCCTGTAGGACCATGGTTTGGCAGTGGCTGGGTTTCTGTTCTGAAAGATACAACTATCAGGTGACCCTCACATTATAGCTGTAGGTTGTTCTGAGTTACAGTAACTGTTCCACCCCCAAGGTTCTCCACTATTGCTATCCTCGGGGTGCTTCAATAGTGTTGATTTGCTTAATGGTTCCCACACGTTTATAAAGAGTTCTCCTCAGTTCCCAATTTGATTGTTTTTCCCTTCTGAGACCATGACTGATATTAATACATAACACTCAGAGGGTTGCTTTGAGAAGGTATTAAAATAATGCTTTTAAAGTGCTTAGTACATTGTCTGGCACAGAATAAGCACTTATTCTGCTCCACTAATGCTATGATTATCTGTTTCCTTTTACTCCTCTATTTTATGTTTGGTAATATCTTTGTTTCATATGATTTTCAAAGAGTTGGTTGATTTGCTGAAATATTTTACTGTTAAAAATCATCAGAGCATATCTAAGCTTAATTTTTACACTTGATCTTAGCCAAAAGGCTGAGAAGCAATCTAAGCTTAATTTTTTGGTTTATCTTATACCTTCAAACAAAGTGGTGGCTACTAATTTTTTCTCAAAAGATTTTTTTTTGCTGCTAAAATAAATAAGACCCAATGTAGTGTAATCTACCATTGACTTTGGAGCCTGAACATCTAAGAAAAAGAGTAGTTGAGCTAAGGGTATATGGATCAAAGCTGGGAAATTTGGCTGGGAGGATAGTAATTCAGGAGGTTGAGGTCTTAGAGAGCAGTGCTCTGAGAAGCCAAGGATCTAGAGAGCCATGGAGTAGACCAGGGAACCAGCACCAGAGACTTAATCAAAATGATTTTGACTAGGCTGGACTCCCAGTTACAGCAAAGCCTTTTTACTAAAGCAAAATGGACCCAAAGCGTCAGACTATAGCCATGATACTCTTGCAGTTGAAGGCTCTGGTTTTCTAAAGAGTGGTCTCTCTTTAAAAACAAACAAGCAAGCAAGCAAACAAACAAACAAGAAACAGAAAATCTAGTAGTAGCAATGTGTTCTGAGACTTCATGAATATCTTGGGGAATCTAGTCTTTCAGATAAAGTAATGGATTTTCTTGGTGATGAGTTCTGGTTCTTGGCTCTGAACCTCCAGCTTCATGATCTTCTAGAGTTTTGTATGGAGAAAATATTGAATCCCTGACATCCAATTTTGTTCCTAAGATCCCTGAGATGCTACCCTTGATGTTTCTGCAATTGGTTTGAGTACATCTTACAGGTGGCAGATTTTCCACATAGCAATAATTGCTTAGTAATTAATTGAATTATGCTCTATGATAGAGAATGAATAATAATGATGATGATGATGATGATATCTGAAGTCCTTGTAATTTACAAAGGGATTGCTACAAACATTTTCCCTCTTAAGGTTTTTAAAATATACCAACCCTGAGAAGGATAAAGAAGGAAATAGAAAGTAGGTAGAGTTAGTATATTTAATTGAATGCAGTTCTTTCTGTTTCATAGAAATACCAATTGGCTTTTTATTTCCCAATAGCATACAGTAATTGCTATTTTTACATATTTATGATGAAACAGTTGACAGCTATGAGCTATCACTTATTTTTAATGTCAACTAGAGTCAACAATTAAAATCAGAATGTACTTCAATGAACACATGTTTTAGTAACTGACCATTTTAGTGAGAATTCATTTTTCTTATATGTGGCTTCTATGTTTCCAGATGTGGGTATCAGAAACACATGAAAAGTTGTCACAAGTGTGTTTAAACACAGAATGGGCTGAAATGAAAAGCAAGGCCTTATTGAATGAGGAAACAGTGAGCTCTGGGATTATTGAAAGGTATTCTTAATACTTTTCTTTACTTATAGAATATGGACATACAGAAAGCACTTGTATAAGTAGCAAAAAGGTATAGTGACCCCGGTTCCACACTAAAGGAACACATCAAGCACATTTTTCTCAAGCTTCCATGCTTTCTGCTCATGCCAATCTCTCTGTCTGGGAGTTTCTTTTCCTCAATTGTTTACCAATCAACTCTCTACTTATTCTGGGTCCAGCTAAAATGCCGTTTCCTCTTTATACGTGGTTTTTTTTTTTTTTTTTTTTTTTTGGCCCAGGGTTCTGACTATCCAGGTTTGAACCCCCGCTCTACAATTTACTGTAAAAGTTTTTTGGTGTTTATAACCCAGCTTGTTCACCTGTAAAATGAGAATTACAAAAGCATCTACTTCATAGGGTTGTTATGAAATTTAGATGAAATAAAATATGAAGTGTGCATAGAAGTGTTGCCTGACATGCAGTAAGAATTAGGTAAGCTGTCATTAATCAGAATTAATTGCTTTTCTATTTTTGTCCTCTGAGTATTTTATGTCCTACATGACAGTTGGACTTGCATGCTAGTTATTTATATGGAGGCATTTCCTTAGGAATAGAGAGTTCTTTGAGGATAGAAGCTCTTTCTTCATCATAGCTGTCATCCTGCATCCTGGCACAGTGCCTCCCCATGGAAGGGTATGACACATAGCCTTTGTCTTATACGGTAATTGTTGAAAAAGGCAGTCAAAATCATGACAAAAATGCCAAAATTTCCATTGACTTGTTGAGACATTTTGTTTTATAAAGTTCATGAAAGTTGCAAACATGAAAACTCTTTAAAAAGTAATCACCATTAAAATCCAACCCTAAATTAGTTTTTGTTTTGTTTTTTTTTTTTTTGACATGGAGCCTTGCTCTGCCACCCAGGCTGGAGTGCAGTGGCATGATCTCGGCTCACTGCAACCTCCGCCTCCTGGGTTCGAGCAATTCTCCTGCCTCAGCCTCCTGAGTAGCTAGGACTATAGGCGCATGCCGCCACGTCCAGCTAATTTTTTTTTTTATTTTTAGTAGAGACGGGGCTTCACCATATTGCCCAGGCTGGTCTTGAACTCCTGAGCTCAGGCAATCTGCCTGTCTTGGCCTCCCAAAGTGCTGAGATTACAGGCATGAGCCACTGCGCCCAGCCCCTAAATTAGTTTTACATGACTTTGAAAGTTTACACATTACACTCTAATAAGTTTTCTAAAAAATGTTATCTTGTTTTAGGGTCACCGGATTGCCTGCCACAGGTTTTGGAGCTGTCTTTCCTAGACATCCAGCAGATCGGAGCAAAATGTTAGTAGTCCCTAAACTGCTACAATTGTACACAATGTTTCCTGATTCAGAAGGTTTGTTTGCAGGGGTGAAGAAGGTGTGAGAGGGTGAGCCAAGGTCAACAAAATGCCCTTTACATGGTATCTTCGACTTGCCTTTAACCAAATATTTTCTCCATTCACATGCCTAGCATTAATAATAATAATAATGCAACAGTAAATCCTCACTATTTGCAGATTCTGTATTTGTAAATATTTTTTCTCTGTAAAATTTACCTATTTGCATCCCCCAAGTCAATACTCGTGGTTCTGTCATGGTCATTTGTGGACATATGCAGAGTGGTAAAAAAGGGAAGGCACCAGATATGTACAATCCCAGCTGAGGTCGAACAGGGTGATGCCCTGCCTTCTTGTTTCAGCTCTCATTCTATAAACGTGTTCTTTTCAGAGTCTATTCAGTGACACATTTTTCAAACTCTTATGCTTTTTGTTGGTGATCTCGTTTAAGACATCCCTCAAGCATGGTGCTGAAGTGCTGCCATGTTCCTTAGAGCAAGAAGGCTGTGATGTGCCTTTCAGAGAAAACACATGTGTTAGACAAGCTTGATTCAGGCATGAGCTGCAGTGTTGTTGGTCATAAGTTCAAAGGTGATAAATAAAAAAATAAAATGTCTTTAAGCAGAAACAGACATTAAACAAAGTTTTATATTGATCGAGTGGTGAAAATGTGACCAGAGGCTTGCAGGAACCTAACCCTACATTTCCCCTGAGATCAATGGTTCAATATTTGCTAATGCAGTGTTTCAGCAACTTTGTAGAACATTACTATGAACAAAGAGAACTGACTTTACAGCAAGAGACTATTTTTACTGATATAAGAGATAAGTCTGTTTCGGCAGGGAAGCATGAATTCTTACTACAAAAGAAAAAAAATCTTATCCACTCATCTTTCTAAACATAAACTTTCATTATGTACAGTAAGTGATGTGGAAATACATTTATAAGTATGACAAAATTCTAAGGATTGCATTGTGCATTATGGGGTTGTTGTGAAGATTAAGCAAGTTAATATACATCAAACAATTAGAGCAGTAATTCTTTGCTGGACATGGTGAACCTTTCAGTTTATAAACTCGTATCAGTTCAGAGAAATTTTCTTGATTTATTTTATTCTTGACCTACTGTGTTTTCTCTGTTCTCTCTTTTGGAAATCCTTTATTTGAATGTTGGATTTCTTTTCCTGATCCTAAAACTTTTCCAGTCTTTTTTCACCCTTTCTTTTTGGTCTTTACGATCTACTTTCCTCTCTGTTTCTTCAACTTTACCCTTGAATTATCTTTTTGTTTCTGAATCCTTTTGTTTTTGTAGAATCTTTTTTTTTTTTTTTTTTTTTGGTTTCGTGACTTCAGTATCTTCTCTTTTCTATCTGAAGATGTTAATGAAAGTTTTAATGATAGCTTAAAAAATTTTTTTCTTCCCCATGCATACTCTCTGTTTTCTCCAAGATGTTGTTTTTTCTGTTTTTTATTTGTTGGTATGGTATCCATCTTTCACGCTAGAGGCATTTTCCTTAGGCACCTGCTAATCAGTCCTCTGCTCATGATTAAGACATGGGGCTCCGAGCCTGTGAGTGAGGCTTACTGCCTTGGAGATTCCCTGGAGGAATCTAGGTGGGTCATTATTTCAAAGAAACGCTAGTACCAGTACAGTCATGCATTGTGTAATGTCAGGGATATGTTCCAAGAAATGTGTTGTTAGGTGATTTCATCGTTGTGTGAACATCATAGAGTGTACTTACACAAACCAGATGGTCTAGCCTACTACACACTGAGGCTAGATGGTAAAATCCATTGCTCCTAGACTATCAACCTGTATAGCATGTTACTGTACTGAACAGTGTAGGCAATTATAACACAGCATTAAGTATTTATGTATCTAAACATATCTAAACATAAAAAAGGTGCAGTAAAAATACAGAATGAAAGATAAAAAATGGTACAACTGTATAGGGCACATGCCATGCATGTACCCTGCAAGACTGGAAGTTGCTCTGGGTGAGTCCATGAGTGAGCAGTGAGTCTATGAATGTGAAGGCCTAGGACATTACTAAATACTACTGTAAACTTTATAAACACTGTATACTTAGGCTACACTAAATGTATAAAACAATTTTGTTTGTCTATTTTGCATTGTTATAAAGGAATACCTGAGACTGGGTAGTTTATAAAGAAAAGAGGTTTATTTGGCTCACAGTTCCACAGGCTGTATAAGCATGGCACCATCATCTGCTTGGCTTCTAGTGAGGCCTCAGGAAGCTTTTACTCATGGCAGAAGGTGAAGGGGAGGCAGGAATGTCACATGGCAACAGAGGGAGCAAGAGAGAGGGGAGAGGATGCCAGGGTCTTTTTAACTACCAGATCTCATGTGAACTCTCCTTACTGCAAGGAGGGCACCAACCCACTCATGAGGTATCTACCCTCATGACCCAGACACCTCTCATCAGACCCTCACCTCCAACACTGGGGATCACATTTCAGTATGAGATTTGGATAGGTCAAACATCAAAAATACATCAACAATATTTGCCTTTCTTCAAAAAGACGTTTACTTTAGCTTATTGCACCTTTTTTACTTTATAACTTTTTTTTTTTAACTTTTGGACTCTTTTAGCAACACTTAGCTTAAAATGCAAACACATTGTATAACTGTATAAAATATTTTCTTTCTTTATATCCCTATTCTGTAAGCTTTTTATTATTAAACAATTTTTTTTTAACTTTTACAACTTTTTTCTTAAAAATGAAGACACAAACACACACCTTAGCCTAGGCCTACACAGGGTCCAGATCATCAATATCACTGTGTCCACCTCCACATCTTGAGCTACTGATAAGCCTTCAGGGGCAATACCATGCGTGGAATTGTCATCTCTTGTGATAACAATGCCTTCTTCTGGAATACCTCCTGAAGGACCTGCCTGAGGCTGTTTTACAGTTCACATTTTTTTTTAATAAGTAGAAGAAATATACTCTAAAATAGTGATAAAAACCATAGTATAGTAAGTGCATAAACCAGTAACAGTTGTTTATTATTGTTATCAAGTATCATTATATACTGTACATAATTGTTTGTGCTCCACTTTTATATAGCTAACAGCACGTAGGCTTGTTTACACTAGCATCTCCACAAATATGAGAGTAATGCATTGTGCTAGGATATTACAAAGGTAACAACGTCAATAGAAATTTTTCAGTTCCATTATAATCTTATGGAGTCTTCATAGTACCTGCTGTCCAGCCTGTTGTTGACTGAAATAGCATTATTTGGCATGACTCTATTTTAGCCTCTCCTTTTGGGCTGGTCATATTCCCAGATAAGCCACTTCAATCTCCCTTCTGAAGGGTGAAGAGTGGGCTGGTGCCTGTGTTCTTAGAGTGAGCAAGACAATTGGACAGGGACATCAATATGAATACTGCATAATGTATGGTCACTGAATTGAATTGTGTTTTTGATTAAGGACTTTCTTACCCTACAGATGAATAAATTTCTAGCTTTCTGCTAAGGAAGGGGAGGGGCAGTTACCTGGCAGTGGGGGAAGAGCTTGGGAGCATCACCTGCTTTTCAGATAGCTCTCCCCACAGGCCTTTGCTGACTTAGGATTCATTCAGCTTTCTGCTAAGTCAGGAACCACTTGTCCATCTTCTCTTGAGTTTCCAAAATTTGTTTCTCTTGTCCTTTTTCCTATTCTCCATATTACGGGTTTTAAAAAAAAAACAATTTCTTAAGTCTCTTTACTGTGGTTTTAGTGGAGCTTTTTGAGGAAGCAAGATTCGATGCTCATCTTAACTCTGATGTTATCAAGTCTCACCTGATTTGCCACCTCCTCCAGAGGACCTTCCCATACCTAATGCTGCCCCAACCCCAATAACTTGGTTAGGTCCCTCACTGTGGGTGCCCATAGCACTGTATGCTTCTTTTAAGCAAACACTATTAATATTTGTTGCAATTGTTTGCATTCTTCTCGTTCTTGCTCAATTCAATGCTCTGAAGGGAAAGACTATCACGACTCTGTCCCCAGTGCCTAAAGAGAGCCTAACCTGCGGCAAATACACCACCATTATCTCCTGAGTTAATAGATTAATTATTTCTGACGTTGAACAGCAAATTATAATAGAAGGGGGTTTGACTAATTCCTATTTTATTTGATTTAGGGGTTCAAGGCCTTTAGAGCCAAAAGTTGTTCTCAATTCTTTTTGGTAAATGCATTTGAAGACATAGTTTCTTTTAGAAAATCAGCCCTTATTAGTTTGAATTGCTAGAATTACTCATTTGTTTTATGTGATTCATGAGTATTAACAAGGAGATAAATACATGGACACCTTCAAACAGCCCCTACTAATTCCATATGTAATTCTTTCTTTCAGTTAATATACACTAATTATAGAATGTTACATACAGTAGAATGCTGTGGTGTTTTAGAATCTGCTCTCTTGAATATTAAATAATCTTTTGCTTCTTGCCAACTCTACAGCTCTGCAAGTTAAATGTCAACTTTAAAAGGCAATGAATAAGAATGAGTTTGCTCAATGGACCAAAATATGCTTCAACTTATAAAAGAAAGACTGTAATCATAAGGTAAATTTAAGGTTTAGGTTACCTCTTAAGGGAGAAAAATTAGAATAAGGTATAGCTTTGTTATTAAGGAGACATTAGATTGATGGACTTATCTTAATTTTTAGATAATGTCCATTATGCTGAAATGGCATTTGACTGACTCTCTTTCTCATAACTCAACCTATGTCCCACCTACTTTATTTTGGACCAGTGTGAAGAAGACATAACACCTTTCCCCCATCAGTGGGTAGCAAACATCTCAATGACACTAATTGAAAATCAGAACAGCTAGAATGTTTGACACCACCAGAACTTGTCACTCCTGACCTTAACTAAAGAAAAGGGCTCGGTGAATAATTCCTTCCACGTGCATCACAGATGGAGGAGATGGATGAAAAATAAATTTCA